GAACTGGCCAGAAGGCCGAGGTCAAGGACTAATGACTAAGAACAAGCCTCGGTTGGATTCAGGGGGAGGGACTGACAGGGAAGAACTGGGGCTGCTGCGTTTTATTTAAATCCCTGATAAGAATCAGGAAGGAGACAACAGCCCAGTGACACATTAATTAACTTTGCAGATGATACTGGTTCAGGAAGGTGTTACATCCACCCATCTAAGTGAAAGAGACAAGAGGGCCTGGGAAGGGATCAGGAACCAGGCCAGGAAATGGCAACAATGAACAGCAGCTGCGGGCCTGGAGGGGCCAAGACTTGTGGCCTCTGGGCGGATCCGGGGGCGTGGGGTGGAAGGGATCCATTTCAGAGAGCAGATGTCCAGTGGCTGGCTGGACTTGGGACAGGGGGTGCGGACTCCAAGTGCCTGCTGTGTTTGAAACGGGGGACAGAACCTTCTCCCTGGCATCTGTGTTTGGAGGATGGGGAAAAGGGGATGGGAGCAAGGGACAAGAAAATAAGTAAAATTTATGGAGCACCCACAGTGAATCAGGCAATATATACATTACCTACACTTGAATCCCACAACAGCCGTAAGACAGGAGTAAACCGAGGTTCAGAGAGACCAAGAAACTTGTCAACAGTGTCGCTGCGAGAAAGTGGCAGACTTGAGATTCGGATCTAGGATGGAGGAGATGATTCCAAAGCAAGCTAAGGGCCCCAAAGGCAAAGCTAGGAAAAATCAGCCTGCCTCTTAGCTTGAGGACAGAGACCTGAGTAAGTAACAAGTGCACCCAAGAAGGCTGTCCTTGGCACCCTGGGATGGCACAGGCACTGAAAGTTTTCCGCCTTCCTGCTCAGAGGGCCTGACCTTCATAAGTGGCAGGGAAAAGGGAGCAAAGAGGAAGAGGAGACCTCCAGGCACGTGGACAGCCTGGAGAGGCAAAGCACTAAGGAGTAAGAGTGCCCGAGCTCCTGCAGCCTGTCCTTGAGGAGATGCCAACGTGCCTGGAGGCCTGCTTCTGTTCTGGTCACTGATCCCTCTCCCTTTGGTGGAGACAGGGGCCTGATACAATCTGGGGGGTGACCACACCCTGGGGGAGCCACCCAGAGGACACAGGTCCACAGACAGGGTAACTTCCCCTGTGGAGGGCTGGGATGACTCCAGTCTCAGGGGCACAAGGCATTTCTTTTCCTCCAGGGAGCTGAGAGGGGGAAGCTATCCTGAGATTATAACTAGGAACTTGGTGGGTAACCCAGAAGGCAAGCTGTTGGCTGGGTCAGAAAAGAAGTTTCTGGTTGGGTCATGATGCCACTGTAAAAGCCCAAGGTGAAGATGGCCTCACGGCGAGGGCCAGGCCACAGGACTAGGGCTCATAGTCCATGCAAAGTGAGTTCTGGAGCCCCAGAAACTGATGCAGGAAGAGACTGTAGAAGCAGGGTGTGACGCCTGGGGTCAAGGAAGAGCATTCTGAGGCCCAGAGAGCGCCTTCTTTGCCCTTCATCCAGGAACCTTGAGGGCAGAGCAGGATCTCGTAAACCAGGAAGCCCCATGTCTTACCCTGAGAGAATGTGCTAGGGGGCCTCCCTGGAGACAAGCTCAAGAGGCAGGTTAGGCAACATTAAAGAAACCATATGGTGGTTTCTTCAAACTCCCACCCACCCTAAAAGTGAGAACATTTCTATTAAGTAGCCTGTACCATCTTGAGCCTTGTATTTCTACTTCCTATTTGCAGCTTTGTGGCTATGTTCTGTTTGCATTAGCCTCTTAGTAAGATTGTTCAGGAACCTTTCTTCTAGCCATCTGTGTATTTGCCATAAGGGAAGAAATAATGTTTTCCCACCGAAGTCAGTGGGCAGAGGAATACTGTGCCCCTGGTAGCCAGCAGGGGTGATGGCAGGACTGCCCAAATTCCAGGCCCCAGACAAAGCAGCCATGATGAGGATGGGGCTGAGGAACCCAGGCAGGAGAGTCAGGCCTGGTCCCTTCCTGCCTTGGCATAGACATGTCAGAGATTTTAAAGCAAGTTGGAAAAACCTCACACATTGTTCCTCTCTGGCCCCCCTGTTTTTATGAAAATGACCAATTGTTGAAAATATTAGAGATGGTGTAGATGGAAACCTTCAAGCAAAGGGTGGTAAAGTTTCAAGAGCTGGTATGCTGGGAGAAGCTGCGAGGCCGGACATGTTCTTGGCCGCTGTGGATAACTGATGGGAAATGGTTGCGTCCTCTGGGGTATATACCCCAGGGACGGTGTGACCAAGAGGCTCTGAGATTCACTCAAATCTTTCCTCTTCTTTTGAGGACCTCATTCTTCTCTGCACAAAGAGTGGGTTTTCTCAAAAGAACTTCTTGGGATAGATTAGGATTATGACCTATTTTTAAAACCCCATGGCACCTCTTAGAAAGTCATTTTCCCCTAGTTGTTAAGATTTTTTCCAGTATGGTTTCTAGTCTTTGGGACACACAGAAGCCTCCTACTTTCCCCAGGTTTATTATTCCAGGACACCAGGGGAGCCAATCAAGGCCAGGAAAAGGCAGCTCACAACCCCCTCATCTATGGCAGGCAAATTCTGGACTAGCAAAAGGGCATCAGAAGTGACTGGCCATAAGCTACTGCCTTTGTTCACCAGAATCCACCTTGCTACTCCTTTTTATATCTTGTGAATAACAAACAGGCACACACACTTTTCACCACCATAATATAAAAACATATGCCACTCCTTACCCCCAGTTCTGGCATGTATCTCATTTGTACCCAATCCCAGTTCACTGAGTACAATTTTGCAAAGAGCCATTGCCTTCAGTGTGCCACTCCTGAGGGGTGCATGTGTGTGAGGCATCTTTTCATTCTCCCCCAACACCTCAGGGCTTGTTTTAGAGGAGCTATGCCTCTATCTCTTCTATACTTATAAGCCTGATTTTGCTTCCAGGCCCCTCCTTTGCAAAGCCTCCATTTATTCCTTCTCCTGATGGCCTCATGTAGGCCTTTCTTCTACCATTTCCCCACTTCATCCCTAAGTTTCAGGGTTGAGTCTCCTCTTCCCATATTTACAGAACCCAGGCAGGTTGGGTTGCTGGCGTGATGCTATCTGGGACAGCCTTATCTAGCTCTTAAGTGTGAATCAGAGATTACACCACACAGGGCTGGTGCCAGCCAGGCGAGCTGCCATATTGTCAAGTAACTCAGTGGTTGAACCAGGTTGGGTTGAGTAATACGCACCAATGGGAAGTGAGTTTATTAATCATGCAGCTTAGTATATTGTTGACGAAAGTGTACCTCTGAAAGCCTGGTTTGATTGGAGAAGGTGCAGGTGGGGCTGGAAGCTAACTATGAAGACACCCAATGACGCTATCTTCCTCTGATAATATTAGCTTGAAAACAGAAATCTGGAAGGAAACATCTGGTTTAGCAAAGAGGTGGATCATATGCTCAATTATTAGGGCTTCTTGGCCATCTTGGACTCCCTCTGTTAAGGATACCTCTTTGTGGCTGTAAGCAAAGTTATAATTTGGAATTTTTAGTCTCATGAGGTGAGAGAAGGAAATTCAAGATGGCAGCCAGCGACCAAGAATTTTGTGGTTAGAAAATCTAAAACTCATACTACATTCTCTTTAAGCTCTCTCACTTCAAAAACACTTTCTAAAGCCACAGCTCACCCCACTCCAGGTCTGCCCTCCACTCAACTTCTTGGTAACTATAGCCAACCAAAAACACCACCCACATTTTTCACTGTGATGGGCTTGCACTGGTGTGGCAAGAGCAGTTACTGAGCAGGGACACTCAACTATATGTCTGCCTGTCGCCATATGGTTAACCTGGTTGGCACCTCAGGTATTAAGACACTGTCCCCTGATCACAATGCAGTGTTACATTTACATAGCTCAGATTCACACACCAAGTCCCTAACCTTGGCTGAGGCTGATAATATACAAAGTGCGTGGCAGAGGAACCCAAGCAAGTGGTTTAGAGGACTGGTGGAGAGAAAGGCAGAAGAGAGGACTAACCGGCCCAGACTGCTCTACACTGAACCTCACAGGGATAAAGGATTTTAAAGACAATGGCAAATAAGGTGGGGGGAGCTGGAGGAGGGCGATGTGGACAGAGGAAGGCAGTGGAGGATACATCTCTCTTCAAAGAAAATAGATGAAAGCTCTGGGGCTGGCAAATAAAGTCAGTTAAGGAAGGGGAAGGTTCCGGGGTGGGGGAAACATTGCATTTATGGGAGACAGAAGTTGTATGATGCAAGAGGTTATTGATATAGAAAACATTCCATGAATGTTCTCTAAATCCCAAATGTTCTTTCTTCTCTTAAAAGCATCAGATCCCTGGGTAGTTTATGAGAGCTGTTTTTCAACCAGGACCACCTTTCCCAAGCAGTTACAGACGGCGGGGCTCCGACAAGGCTGTCCAAGTCGGATTGAAGTTGTAGCACTTTTAAACATGACTTTTCTTAATTTTCTGACCACAAAAGAGCTTTCAATCTCTCTGGTTATTCTCCAACCCTGAAGAACCTCTCTCAAGTCTCCACCTGTTTTTCAGGCTTCAAAAGCTTTAAGCAAGAGCACTACTACTCAGTGTGGCTGTAGGGACCCTACAGGCGCTGCCCTGGTGCTCCCTTGACTACCAGAGAAACTGTTCATAAGTCACAAAATGATTCAGTTCCCAATCCCCTTCCTTCTACCCTCACATACCCATTGGAAACCAGAGAGAAGGGTTCTAGAAGGTTCTAGTCACTAGCCATGACGCTCATGAATTTATCTCATCTGTTCACCTAATCTCTCTGGCAGTTTGAAGCTCCCAGAAGGGTGGGGGAGAATCGTATTCTCTTAGAACCACAGTAAACACTCAACCCTGGATTTGAAACACCAGAACCCACACAAAGTTCTAACCAACTTCTAATAATACCAAATTGCAACTATCTCCGTGAGCATTTTTTCAGAGCAAGAACTGCAAAACCAAGCATAAGAAACTATTAAACCAACCACGTTCCAAAAACAAAACAAGACAAAAAAACAGGCCAAACCAAAACTTTATGCTATGAAAACAAGAAATAAGGATTATAGGCCGGCTGATTGTCAGCAAACACAATATATTTACTGTATTAGCATTTGCTCACAGTGCAAATGGTACAACATGACACCATTTCAATATTTCGGTTTTTAAAAATGCTGTTTTCATGAACTATATTATATTGGCATAACAATGTGACAAAGGAGCAAATGAAATGTTGGTGAAGAATCTCACCTTTTCACAATATCAAGCATATTTTTTTTAACCTTAGTATAAGGTACTATAAATCCAAGAAATAAAAACATCCACAAAATATATTACATCTGGTTTGTCTTTTTCTAAGTACTCAACTTTATACAAAAGTCTTTCAAAAAATATCATTCCCCATAGGTTTTCCTGTTTAAAACCTGATTTTTTTCTCTCAGTTCACATAAGTTAGAGTGCATTTTCTTTTGTTGTTTTTTTTAAAACATGCAGACATATAAAAAATCTGGATAGCACAACCTTTTGGCAACAAAGTTATTTTTCTCTTAGTTTAGCTTAAATGTCTGAGAACAGTTTTATTAAAACAAAGGAAAACTCAGAGTTATCATGCAGTGCCATGCATAAACCAGAAGGAGCAAGGAAAAAATATTAAAGGACATCTGATTCCTCCTTCCAGCTTTGAAGTCACCAAAATCTTTGTTTTTAATAATCATCACATTATAAAAAGTACTCAGCAAAATACTGTCTCTGCAAAGAAAGATTTTACCCTTCAGCTGAAAAAATATGGGCCCTCCTGGCAAGCTTCATCCTCTTCCTCTCCTTCTACAAAAATGTCCAAGTACCTGGAAATCCACAATCCCCCTGCTCTTTGATTTTTTTTCTTCCTTTCACTAGACTCCTTTTAGTATTATTTATCCACCACCAAAAAAAAAAGGTGCTTTTTTTTCCTTAAAAAAAAAAAAAGTGGGAAACGCATAAAGTGACTTTAAAAACAGACATTCTGTAAACTCCAGACCTTTGTTCCTTCTCTCTGGGACACTTACTGACCACAGGAGAAATAGCTCTAATAGGGAACAGTACATTCAGTCAAGACTGTGCTGAAAGCTGTGTTGGAGAGCAACCTTCCCTACTGCTCCAAAACAGTCACCCCTATGTGGAGAAGGGCTGGGCAGGAGGGGGTGCCTGAGAAGAGGTGAGGTAGGGCAGGGAGAAAGTGAGACAGGTATGGAAAAGATATGCCTCATTCATCAATGTGGATCAATGCCAAAATCCCCATATCTTTGAGGAAAATTTGGACAGAGATGTATGTCTGTATATATATGTATTATATATATATGTACATACACACATATGTAGATATGATCTGTTAAAATTTTCATAAAAAATACATCATTTAAAGCTGTGTATGCCTACAAATTTTCTTTATTCCGGTGCACTGCACTGAATAGCCAAGTACCTTAGAGATTTTATTTTCCTATGAATACACAGTGTGTATGTTATATATACATGTGTGTATGTGTGCATATATACACACATACACACATGTATATATATACACACACACACACCATATACATAGAATTGAATCCTACCGTTTGTGTTGGTGATGACAAAGGGCAAAAAAGAAGAGCCTGCTTGCCCATCAAAGGTGGAAAGGAGAAATGGGTATGTGAGCAAGAAAAAAACAAAGAGATGGTGAAATGGGGTGGCTGTTTGAGGCCTGCCTTTCTGGAAAAAGATTTTGAAAGAGATGGGAGAAGTTTTAGAAGGGGAGAACGGAGAAGAGGTGGGGATAGGGCAGAGGGCAAACTCAGGAACATCTATTTTATAAAGTGGGACTGAGGAAACAGTTTTTTAAAAAGGCAGGTTCAGTGATGGCTGCTCCTTCTCCCCGCAGATCAAAACTGCCCTGAGGCCTAAGAGGGATTGGCTAGGAAAGGGAGGGGTTCTGGGGGGACTAAACCCTAAGTGGCGGCGGCAGGACCGCGGCAGCGGCATCCGAGGCATTTCTGTAAGAAACATTATTTCCGAGCAGATGGAAGACCGTCTCATCTGGCCACGTGCAACTCCCCAGCCTGGGACATTCCTCCAGTGGCCTGGGACCCGAAGTGGGGAAGAGTTCGGGTGGACACAGCCCCGTTCAGCTCAAGAGTCTCAAACACGCGCGTGCGCGGGCGCACGCACACACACACACACACACACACACACACACACACACACACACGCCTAACACTCACGCGAGCACGCACACTCGCGCGCATCCCCGCACGCAGGCGCGCGTACGTGCGGCGGGCAGAAAGCTCTGCGCTTTGGTGCGCTCCTTACCCCCTCCCCCTCTCCGGTCTTCGAGGGGGAGCCGAGAGACACGTGGGGGGAACCGTGAGGTGCTTGGGTCTGGCGAGACTTGGACGGTCCCGCCTCCAGTGCCCCGCAGGTCCTTGGCGCTGCCCAGCGGCCCTTGGATCAAGACGATCCGAACTGAACAAAGAGGGCTAGACGCCACCTTTCAGCCCCCACGCCTTGGCTAAGGGTGGGGCAGCGAGGGGAAGGCTCTTGCTGCCCTGGTCCCCGGCCGTTGGCAGTGTTAAAGGGTGGAAACGGGGGACATCGACGGGAAACAAGGGACCTTACGTCCATGGAGAGAGGCCAGGGCGCGGCCCGTGCGCCTCCGTGGCTAGCCTTCCCGCTGCTTCCAGGCGAGCAGTTGGGAGACACTGGAGGGAAAAAGTGGGGATCTGGGGGCCCGAGCCTCAGGCGCAGGTAGTGACCACAGGGGCCAGGGACACTGGGGGCGCCGAGGAGGCAGAGGGTGCACCCCCCTTCTCTGCCTTCTTCTCTTTTTGCTTGAGATGGATCTTGGCGTGGCGTTTGCGTTCGTCGCTGCGCGCAAACTTGCGCCCGCAGAACTCGCAGGCAAAGGGCTTCTCGCCTGTATGCGTGCGTATATGAGTGGTGAGGTGGTCGCTTCGGCTGAAGCTCCGCATGCAGATTCGGCACTGGAAGGGCTTGTGGCCCGTGTGGATACGCAGGTGCCGGGTCAGCTCGTCCGAGCGGCTGAAACGGCGGTCGCAGCCCTCCGCCGGGCACGCATGGGGCCGCTCGTGGAGCGGGGTCTTGCTGGGTCGGTTGGGGTACTTGCGGGGCCGGATGGGCTTAAGCGTGAGCGGCGGCTGGGGCAGGCTGCCGAAGCCCGGGTGAATCTGCTTGTCTTTGAATGCCTTGATGGTCTCCAGGGGGGTAATAGGGGGCGGGTTGACACGGATGGGGTCCATGCCCTGGAAGGGCTTGTGCTCCGGAATGGAACCCATGTCGTTGGGGTGGTGGTACAGATTGTAGTCAGGAATCATGGGGAAGAGATTGCTGTCCAAGGCCGGCTTGGCCGATTGGTAATCCTGGGGTGAATAGGCGAGCCCGGGGTTGCCCTGGGGGTCGTGGAACGACACAGGCTCCGAGTAGAGATCACTGCAGTTGGAATAGGGGGGCAGCGCCGGATACATGGCCTCCACGTCACCCTGTGGCGGCTGCACCATGCTGGCCGTGGAGGTCTGCGTGCTGAGTGCCCCTGAGGCCGGGGGCACCCCCAAGATGCCTGCGCTCATGAGGCTAATGATGTTGTCCTGGCACCAGTTGGAAGGGGAGTCAAAGGCGAACTTTCCCAAGTAGGTCACGGTCTTGTTGCCGGGGGCTGGCTGGAAGGAGCCCGAATAGGAGAGTTCCGGGTTGGGCTTCTCGTTGGTCAGACCGATGTCCATCACATTCTCTGCGGAGAGCGGGGAAGAGAGGGGAGGGGTGAGTGAAGCTGAGCTGGCCCCCGGGCTGGGGCTCCCAGGTCCTTGCCCAGGTGTGGAGGGTGCGGCCAGCTGGAGAGCGCAGCACATGGGGTATGAAGAACGCTGCGCCCGGCGCAAAGCGGGCGGTGCCGCGCTCCCGGGCGCAACCTGGATACAGCAAAATACTACGGATCGGGGTGTGGAGTGGCTGCTGCACACACACCGCACACACCGCGCACACACTCACGTACCACACGCACATACGAGCGCGCGCCAGAAGCATTGTTGTTGTTCCCGAGGTGGGGCGGGCAGGTAGCTGCAGCTACAGGTAGTTTCAGACCCGAAGCGCGCCGGGCTCTCTCTCACTAGCGCTCACTCCTCGGCCTCTTCCCCTAGCCCTGTCCGCGCCCGGACGCCGCGCCTTTCCTGCCCCGACGAGGCCTCCACGCGCACTGCGCGCGGGTTGCTGACCCCGAGCGCTCCGACGCTTTGTCCTCGGCGCTGAGAGGGGTGCTGCCCGTAAAGGGCGCTCTCCCGCCGCCTCCCGCGGCCCCAGCCTCCTCCGGGCCTGAAGGAGCTTTAGGCTCTTGCTGGAGGGGAAAAGCCCAGCCTCAGCCAGCGAGGGTGGAGGGCGGTGGAAAACCGGCCGGTGTCTCCTCTGCGGGAGTGGCCGCTCTACCCAAGCTCCTCCGCCCGGGGATCGCCCCCCGTGACAGCCCCCGTGCGGGTGGACCCTGGACCCCCTCTCTCTCCCCGCCGTCCCCACACCCCCACGGCTTTGCTGAACGCCCCGGAAAGGCAGCGTCGCAGTACCTCTCCCACCGCGGGGACTCCACGCCGCACATGGCTCCATCCCGGGTGGGAGGCTGAGGGAGTAAGGGGGGAGAGCGCGGGTGAAAGGGACGCTGGGCTCCTCCCGGTAAAGGGGGCGACAGCACCACGCCTTGCGCGTAGCCGGGTGATCGCGCCCCCTAAGTGGAGAACCCCAGAGCCGCTCGCACCTACCTCCCTCTGGTCGGCGGCTGCCCCCACCCGGGAGAACCGAAGCTTCTACCGTGGCGTCGCCAACCAAGCCTTCCTGATCGGGGAGGGCGGGAGGAGTGGGTGGGAAAAGCAGCTCGCCCCCCGGAAAATTCCCAGCGCGCCCCCCATTTCTCTATCCATCCATCCATCCAGCCAGCCATCGTTCTCTCCTCTTTCTCTCTCCCTTCCCTTCCTCGCTGCCTCGCCGCCTCCCCGCCGCCCTTACCTGTAGCCATCTGATTGTAATGGGCTACCGAATCGCTGCTGCCGGAGAAGAGGTTGAGCGCGCTGGGGATCTCCTCGGGGTACAGATTGTCAGGCAGTTGGTTTAGCAAACTGCTCATGGTCACCGGCAGCTTCTCGGCGAGTTTGCCGGTCATAGCACTCCCGAGCTGCCGCCGCCGCCACCGCCGCCACCGCCACCGCTCGCTCCTAACGCAGCTTCCAGGCAAGCGGCATCCGAGAGGCGATCCGTGGTGCAAGGGAAAAGCATGCGAGAGGGAAAGTTCGGGGGGGAGGGGAGGGAAGAGGGGAAGGGGTGGGCCAGGGGAGGGGACCTTCTCTTTTTCTGGGGTGGGTGGGAGAGAGGGCAAAGGGGGGTAATCCTCTTGGGCGCCTCAGCTGGTGCCGTAAGAGGCTGGGTCGTAGGGGGAGGGGTGGACTGTGCTGGGGAGGGGCGGTGCTGGGCTGGGGATCTCGGCCCGAGGGGTTTGGATGCGGCCTCAGTGTTGATCTCACAAACAGACGCGCGCCGGTGGCCCCCCCGCCCCCCGATCTGCCGCCGCCACCGCCGCTGCCGCCGCCTCTGCCGCTGCCGCCGCCGCTGCCACCACCACCACCACCAGCCCCGCCGCTTCCTAGCAAGCTCACTGCTGCCCAAGAGCTCCCAGCCAGGGAACTCCACCAGCCTATTTATCTGAGCCCCGGGAAAGCTCCGTGACGTAGCTGCCCATATATGGACAGACAAAGCCCTGCCGAAGGGGCGCGACGTCACAATGGAAGCTCCTCACAATGGAACATTAGAAAGCAGGAAGCGGGCCGCAGCCAACGTGCTGCGCCCGCACCGCTCGCGGATCTTAAAAAAAAACAGAGAGAAAGAGAAATAGTGGAGAAGGAAAGAATTCGAGAGGAGAAAGGAAAGAGGGATGCAGCTGAACGCAAAGCGTAAAGCGCGCAGCGTGGAGTTGGAAAAACAGTAACAGCCTGTGTGTTTATTTGAGGTCTGCTCTAGGGAGAGCGCGCTGGTAAAGGGGGGGGGGCAGGAGTGGAGTAGGTGTTTGCAAGTGGCCTCCGACACCCCCAGCAAGAAGCAAGACAATTGAAAACACCCGGGGAGGTTCCTTTGCAGCCTGGAAACTTCTGGGGAACCCGGAAGGTGTGCTCTCGGACCCGCTCCTGACGCTTCCCTCGCGTCCAGGACCCTGCCTGAAACTGGAGAAAGGGAATGCGTCCCTTGGACGAGGATTCTAGCGTGTCAGGGATCCCTGGTCTAGTATTCCGAGAACTTTGTGTCGCGCTCACTCTCATTTGCCATCTACACCCCTGTCGCCCCCAGGGGTCCTGACCCTGCTGATTCCGGCCGAAAGCTGTGGCTGGGGACATTGGCAGTTGCAAGGCGGCTGCGCGGGAGGCGAGAACCCCACACCTTTGGGGTCCAGGTTGTGCAGTTTTGGGGGTGAAAAGGGAGGAATGAAGTTGAGGGGATAGAAAACACCTGCACCAAATTCCAGATAAATTCCCTAATGGTCTCAAAGCACTCCCTTTGGCCACGGGATGGCAGGAGGGCCCAGCAGGCCCAGGCGCAATTGCTGTCTGTTGCTGCTTGTGAAGGGCCCACCAGTGAGTTGCAGCAGAGGCATGCCGAACCCAGTCTCTGAGCCACCTCGGCGGTCTTCCCTAGTTTCTACCCTCTCCTTCGACTTCCACCGGGTTGTCCCCACTGCTGTCTGCTAGCAACGTGCAGTCTAGGGCCGCTTGTTTGCCGACCCCGGGGCGCTGTCACCTCCCGGAGCGGCAGCAGATCTTGGGGGCGTCTGTTACGTTCCCCGAGGCCTGCTCCCAGCGCGCGCGCTGCCGGGCCGCGGGAGGGGGGACAGGAGAGGAAGGGTGCGTGGGGGAGCGACCCCAAATCACATCGGCGTGGCGTGGGAGGATTCCCTCCTCCGTGGCCGTATGGGTGCGGTGAATCCCGAGTCCCCCGCTGGGGAGCCGGGTTGGGGAACATGCATTTCTCGGGGAGTGGGAGTGTTGACAAGGAGGAAGACAGGATCCCCGGGCCTCACTCCGTGGGAGGGCCACGCGGGCCGGGGACGTGTGGGAGGAACTCCCGAGCTGCACATCGTGGTGGGGGTGGATGACAACCTCGCTCTTCTCCCCTCCACTTCACTCGGTGGAGAACTGTGGGTGGGAGGCACGGCCTCCCCCGATTTTCTCCAGTTCTCAGAAAAGGAGGGATTCCCGCGCCCGCGAGCCCTCTCTCCCCCGCCCCTGAGGCCGTTCCCGCCAGGCTCCCCATACCAATACAGGGGAGGCTCAGCGTCCCCGGGTTCTCCTCCGCCCGCGCAGCGCGGGGAGGGAGCGCTCTGCAGCCGTCCCCGGCTCCGGCCGGAATCAGGGCATGCAGCGCCTCCCGCCCCCGGTTCCCTCCCTAGGGGGGCGAGCGCCGGGCCTGGGGGCGTGGGCGGCCGTGTGAGCCTGGCTGGGCGCGGGAGGGGCCCTGGCGACTGCTGGGAGGGTCGCGGGGCGGCGGGCCAAGCCGGGAAGAGCCATACAAGGAGCGGATCCGGTGACGCGCCGGCCGCGCCCCTTCTCCGTCTCGATTTGGCTGCAGATTCCGGTCCCCGGATTTGCATATTTTGGCATCCAGTGGAAAGGGAAAGAAGAACGGAACCCACAGCCTTTAAAGGAGCCGCACACGCTGTAGCGTCACCTAGGGAGGCGGTCTGAGGGGCGTGAAAAATTAGCCAGTAGCTCCGGCCTTTGGCCGTAGACCTGGGAGCAGAGAGGCGGGGAGCAACGGCGACCGCTGATCCTCGGTCGCTGCAGTCCTGGCCGCTCTGAGGAACGTTCCTGCTGCACTTGCACCCGGAGGTGGCAGGGGTCTCCACGGGTTCCTGCCGGGGGCCAGGCGGACACTCCAGGTCCGCAGCCTTGGCGAGTCGCAGGCCCAGCTCTGACTGCAGTGCCTAAGTTCTTCGCGCGAGGCACAGCTCAGACTGCGGGGGTGGTGGGAAGGAAGTGAGACAGCCGGGCCGCCCAGCTCAACTCCGGAGGACCCTACCGTGATGCACCCGCCCCCCATCCCGCGAGAGAGGGAGAGTCCTGTTGGATAAGGGCAGCGTTAATAAAGAAAGGCAGAGGCAGTGGGGCATTTGGAATCCTTGAAAGCTTCGAAGGCCTCAGAGACGGTGGCGGAGTGTAGCCAATTCAGAGATGGCCCCCAAACTCTGTTAGGCTGGCTGACCTTGTGACACTCAAGGAGAGGAGCGAGTTGCAGGGTTTGCCAGCTTGCTCCCGGGTCTGCTTGCATGTTGGTGAGATGGGATTGGAGTCTTTTGGGGCAAGATACCTTTCCCCTCCTTCCTACTAGTTCTTCACAGAATAGAAGCCTTCAATTCAATGAAATAAGTATTCATTAAAACTTCAGTGTGACCTTGGGCAAATTTCTAAAATTCTTTCTTAGTTTCCCCTGTCTGCAAACGGGGAGGATAATAGTACCCATCCCTTAGGTAGAATTAAATTAGATAATCCTCAACAGTGTTTAAACTGGACCCCTAGCAAGTGTCAATAAGTGGCAATTATTATTGTTAAACTATATTCTCCCCCACCCTGTGACAGAAAAGCCCTTTCCCCTGTGTGTCTTAGGAGTGAGTGTAATTGATAAAGGGAATAAAAGGGGCCAGTATTCCCCATCACTGTAGTCATATGCAAGAAGTATTAGTGTTATTTAGGAGGAAAAGGGAAGTCCTGTTTGTATGTCAGGTACCTGCTGGACAGTGTGCCAATGTAGAGATGGTTAAGAAATGGTCCTCATTCTGCAGAGCCTGGACAAAGATTGAGCCCCCGATGGCTGATGGTGACGTAACGCAGGATACCAAGAAGTCACTCAGTTGCACTTCAATACTCTGGAGCATTCTTCGTGACTTTTTTGTAGGGTGGCTATGGCTGCTGGGTGGGATTGGGGATTCTGGTGCCCTCCCTCCCCTCCTCTGCCATGGAAGGAGCCATGATGGGGAAAGCCTGCCTCTGCAAGCATAGATCCTCACTGCCTGGCTTTTGTTTGGGTTGCTGCTCCCACAGGTACCCCCTGTCACCCGGGATGATGATGGCAGACAGAGGCCAGGGTTTTGTGGCAGGAAGGGAGCATGCTCTGGGTATGGGGTGCAGGTGGGGAGTTTGGAGTGGCTGCTTATGGATTAGCAGCATTCTCCTTTTTGTTGCCACACCTTGAAGTCAGCATGCAGAGTTTTCATACTTGCCTGCCTCCTTCTTTCCTCCCTCCTGAATAGGGGCTGAGGGTGATTGTCTCTGTTTTATTGGCAGGCTTAGGTGAGATTGCCAAGGGCCTAATTACCTGAACTCCAAGCCCCGGACTTGTTGGGAAGTGAGTAGGCACTGGTTCAGGGTGTCCTCACCCTGGAGATGGTGAAAGGCAGGCTGACCCCTCCGCAGCAGGGCTGAGGCTGCCAGCCCCTGGCTGCTCTCTTGCATGGAACCCAGCTGTAAGCTGCCCTTATGGGGACTCCTTCTGCTAATGGGGACAGTGGGTGTGTTTGTCTTGGTGAAGGATAAAGGAATGAGATGAAACCCCTTGAAATCCACCACGGAAAAAGGCCAGGTGGTTGCTTTGTCTTGGTCCTTAGTTCTGCAGTCACCTCTGCCCTGTGAACTTTAGCTTCCCTTTTTGCTAAAGATATCCAGTCCTCTGTTATAAGAAAGAAACCCACAATCAGTTCAAACTGAGATGCATGACCCTTCCTAGAAGGTATTTTCATTTTAAAAGAAAATGCTTGGATAAGGTAACATGTAACTCAAAGCACTGACCCAGTGCTTAGCCTGGTGCCAGGAGATGGCAGGTGCTCATAAATGGAGTAAGGGGCAGTAAGGGCTGATTGTGGGGTATCGGGCCCAGGGACAAAGATTGGGAGGTTTGGGGCAAAGAGTGGGGTTCCTCCAATCACTCCAGGCACCTCTGTGCAGGGCCCACCTCATGGGATTGCTCCTGAGCAACAGTTCTCTCAAGGACATTCTGTTGCTTTCTGTTTCAGGGTGCCCCACTGGATATTCCTGGGAGACAGGTCATTGGTAGAATCTCCCTGGCCAGCCCTTCCTGGCATTCTAGAGGTCATTGCCATTTCTTCAGTAATGACAGGCAGCTCTCAGGCTAGTTGGGTTTTGTCAAGAAGCTTGCAAAAGCACATGTTGTTGAGAACCATGGAGACCTTTGAGGGTGGTGCTCCTGGGTAAGAGCCAGAGCTGAGCATCATGTAGAGGCTTTGGGAGGCTTGAGGCTCACAGAGCCACAGAAGATGGGGTGATGGGGCCTTGGGGACATAATTAATTTTTTTCATTCTTTGTAACAATCCAGAGAGGAAGCTTGTAGGGCTGTCCCCTCAACATTTTTTTTTTCAGTGAAAGATGAAAACTTGCAGAGTCTAAGTAGTTACTTGGATGTTACCTGGCCGGGAAATGGCTGAGCTGAAATGTGAACCCAGGACCTGTTGACTCCATAGTTACAGTTTTTAATCCCACCCTTTGTTGCCATGTAGCTGTCAGGGAATGAGATGAGATGGTAGATGTGGGGTAGAGGACAAACAGGCATAAAATCTGTGGAGGAGGCAATGAGAAGAAAGGCTAGCTAGAATGTAGGCTCTAGGCACCACTGGGACCCAGCATGGGGCAGAGGAGGAGCCCCTGCCCGTAGTAGAGCTGAGGGACAGCACTTAGAGAGGTCAGGGAGCAGCAGTATTTGGGCTGGGCTCTCAGTAGGTAGTCTGCGCCTAGGTCTCATTACCCTAGGTTGTCTCAGAGGCCACGGGATTGTAGGATGGTCTCCTAGCCAACCACACACTTCCATTTTAAACATCTGCGTGTGCCTACATTCAAACTAACTAATTACAGTCAGGTTCAATCAGGGTGCTCATCACAGCTTCAAGAAATTCCAGGGGGAAGTCTGGTGACCAAAGGGAGTCTTGCTACAAAGTAACATTTGCTGGGGGTGGGGACAAAGTGGTCCTGGAGACTTCTCCTTATACACAAATCCTGGGCAGTGAGGAACTGCCCCAGGGGCGGGGGTGTGAGGATGAGTCTGGGGGGCGCTGGGTTGGGAAGCCACAGGGAAGGAAGGTCTGAGAAAGAAGGCAAGACTTGAGAAAGGTTTGGTGTCTGGGAATCAGGAGTTCTGGGTACTGCCGTTAATCAACTACGTGACCTTGGGCTAGGCCTTCTTATTTCTGGTTGTTGGTATAGGCTGGGCTGGATAACCTACCTTTGATTTCTTCCAGCTCTGCTAATCCATGAGTTTTGGATTCTGTCACAGAAAGGGTTGGGAGGAGACCTGTTAGAATTCCTGATCAAGTTTGGGATTTTGTAGGGCTTGGGACGGGTCCTCGGACAGGAGGAAGAATGGGTCAGAGGATGAGGGCTTGTAATGGGAACTCTGCTGTCTTAGCTCAGGGATTCATGGAGGGTCAGAGGAGTCATGTGCTCAGAGGGCCCACAGTTGTCCCTGGGGGCTACTATGGGACAGCCCCCTTCTCAGCTGGGAGGGATGGTGTCTCTGCAGAAAGGACTCTTGGGGGATGGGACTTTTTGGAAAGAGGAACTTTGTTATCTGAAGTGAACCAGAAAAAGTGTGAGTTGAGGAGGGGCTAGTCAGAGAGGCATGGTGGGGAGCAAAGAGGGTGTGAGAAATGAAAAGGAGGGAAAGAGAGTTGAGAGAGAAGGGCCGAGAGGAGAGGAGGATCTCCCCCATTGCTGTGCACACAGCAGCCTCTGGGTGAAGGGTTCACCCGTGTGGCAGGTGCTGGATGCTAGAGGCAGGCAGGCCCTCTCTTCCCCACCCTGTACAAAACCTATAGGAAACCAGAGAGCTGTGGTCTCTAGTCTGCTGTCTCTTACCAGCTCCCAGTCTAGGACCTTCCTCAGCTTCAAACAGGTGGGCCTTCTGCCTCATCCTTCAAGGTGAGGAATTAGGGGCAGGCATTTTGGGTTCTTTTTTGCTATTCCATGTGGTCAAAAATCTGGAATCTGGGAGAAGCAGTTAACAACTCTTTGTGGCCCAGGATTGAGCTCCTCAGTTTGATTAACACCCTCTTTTACCAGATGGGTTAGGTGGGTTTCATGACCTCTGTCATGTGAAACTCTCCCAGAAAAAGACACTCTTTTTATAGCCCCTGGGGTATAAGGACTGATGCTGCCCCTGGCCCCATCTCATCACCCTGAGGGCTGGAGGCACAGTGCCGGTCAGTTGGAACCTACTAGATTCTGCCATC